ATAGTCATTATTTAAATGGGTGATAAAGGGGGTTAAAAGAAGCAAAAAGTTTCAAAACGGCATTTTTTTAGAGAAAAACGACTTTAAGTAAAATAAAATCTCACAACGCCGCAATGCCAGACACAAATTACGACGGAACGCAGAGTAAATAAAGATGTAGTTTGTTATTTTTGGCTTTCAGGTATTATTTCATTATTTGATAATGTAGTCGTAAAATGCAAACAATTAAAAAAAACGAACTCACCACAAACTATCTCAGCGCTTCACCTGGTGTGTGAAAGTCTATTGAACGTATTAAAAAATCCACCTACAAATAGGGAACACATTTTGATACATACATTGTGTTTCTTTTTAAAACGTACACTGCACTTTATTTGTATTTAAAGACGGTGTTCAAAATGTCGACCTCCACTTTCCACACAAGCTTCATTACGACGAACCCAGTTTCTTCTTACTATAGGTCCTCGAAGTTGTCCGTTTATTATTTCAGCAGCATTAATATTTTTTTCGCGAAGTTGTGCTTCAGTTGTTATTGGACCAGCCCCATAAACCATCCCTTTAAGTTCTCCCCGATACTAGAAATCAATCGGATTGAGTTCAGGAGATCTTGCTGACCATTTTCGAGGATCAGGAGCATTTGGACTGATCCAGCAATTTGGATAATGTTCATTCAAATACTGAATAACGCCTCTAACAATGTGTGGTGGTGCCCCGTCATGAAGTAACCACAAATTCTGTCTCCGTTGTAATGGCATGTTGTATAAGGTCTATTCTAAAAGTTTTGGTAGGTTATTGGCTAAAAAGCTAAGGTATCCTTCTCCTGACAACTTTGGGGGTAACTCGAAAGGGCCAATTAACTAATCGTCAAGAATACCTGCCCAAATATTTATTTTAAAACGTTGTTTGAAATGACGTTCACGAATGGTATGAGGATTGTCTTGGGCCCACGTGTGAGTGTTATGGAAATTTAATATCCTGTCGCGCATATGTTCGTCGCTAGAATGTTTTTGAATAAATCCGGATTTTCAATGTTTTTGTGCAAAAACCACTGGCAGAATGTTAGTCTGGGAGGATAGTCTTCTGGTAACAAGGCCTGCACACGTTGTACATGGTAGGGATAAAGCAAGTGTTGCCGTAGGATTCTATGGACTATGGTTTGGGATAGTCCTACGCGGAGGCCTAATTCCCGAAAGCTTATATCTGCATTGATTTCCACGATATTTAAAATTTGTTCCACCTGCTCTATAGTAACCTGTCTTTCACGAGTGCGAATATTAGTGAGCTGAATACTTCCTGTATCTCTTAGTCTTTGGTACACTTGCACAAATGTCCTTCTGGCTGCGTGTACCCGTTGGCGAAATCTGTCGTGATAAATTTGAGCTGCAAGATTTGAAATCTGACGAGCTTCACCGCAAACAAGCAGCATGTCGGCGAACTCTTGATTCGAGAACATTGTAAACAACATGCCTGATGCCCGACAACTAACCACTGTTACTGTTTGCGATCGATTGTTGTTTCGATAAGAGTGATGATGACCGACGCGCTGTTGTCATGTGTTCTGTAAATATTCAATTTAATGAAACTTACTTACTTACTGATTACAAATTTTGGCTTAACTTAGAAAAACTTAATGCCATTTATTTGTTAATTACCCAATTTGAAAACGTTTTAGAGTAGATTATAAGAATTAGTAAGATTGTGGTGATTGTGGTCGGTATAAAGCACTTAAATTTGTAAACTATAAAGCCATTTAGACAAAAATCTATTGACCTTTGGACCATTTATGTCATATGATCCTTTTGACTTGTTTTGACCCCCGCTATTACCCATTTCAATAATGACATACCATAACGTTTACACCCTGTAAATTTCTTCAACGTGTACCACAGCAACCATTCCGTAGATTGAAGCAATACGGAGCTGGTGGATGGGGAGGGATATACGAAACTTACCTTAGACAAGTCGAAGTCATACAAAAACGTTTCCCTAATATTCTACTCGACAGCTCTATCTGCTAAGTAATAACTTCATGCCAGAAGCCAACTTCTGGATACGTACCATCTTCCTTGTGTCACAAATATTTGTCAAACCGTAACTGAAGACGTTCAATTTTATTCGAGTGAAGTTCATGAACAGGATACCATATTATAGAGCAGTATTCAATTTTGGATCGAAGAAATGGATTATACAGTGTGGCGCATCGAAAACGAAACAGACGCATTTACTGGCAGCTCAGTTTTTTTTTTGAAAAACGCTCAGACCAGTCGATTTTGTTTTCGAGGGGGACACAAGTTTGGCAAAAAATCACGTTAACATGTGCAGCCTCCTAAGCGGGGGTGGTACCACCCCCAAAATCTTAAATGGAAAGGGGGGTCGAGTGATACCTTATTTCAAATGTCTTTCAATTTCCTTTATAATTATATAAAATTAATGTACTCGTACAGTAGTTTTGAAGAGTTATTGATTTAAAGCTTAAATAAAACTAATCATCATTAGTGGAGATCAATACATTTGGCAGCAAAGTAATTTAAAAATGAAGAATGAACTGACCCGTTAGGCAAGTAAATGTTGAAAATGGCTACCATGACTCTCCATGCAATAATAAAGGTTTTGCTCAAAACGTTGCCGCACATTTTTCAATATTTGGGGAGTAATTTGATGGCACTCATTCACAAGTCTTTGTCGCAGGTCTTCCAATGATGTTGGCTGCCCAACTAACAATTATCACTCCTATTAGAGTTGCAAGAATGATTATACAGTATTCCTTACACAGCATTATATACTGTAAGAACATTGGCAAAACCCTCTTAGAATAGCTATACAAGCGGGATGGGCACACGTAATAGGACACTTCAGACATTTAAGAGGTTGTATAAGGGCTGCAGGTAACAGTTATACAACAAAAGTGTAAGCCTCTTGCAGCCGCTATAGGACATTTGTGTCAGTACAAGATTCAGTTTTTGTCAACTATACAACTATTCTGTTACGTGATTCTACTTTATTGCAACCAAACTATTTCTTATGTATTGTATACACGAAGTGAAGAATATATAACTAACACAATACAGTCATCTTGTTTACTTACATATCGGCCATTGTGAATTTCATACACAGGTATATGATAGACTTCTACAGTGTGATATAGGGCTATTGAATTACTTGCGCAGCAAATTTTATTGTGATTATCGTGCAAAGTAGTTACGCAATTTCTACGGGCTTCGTATTTGATTCATATTTTGATAATGATCAAAAGTATGCCTAGATTTTTAGGATGGAAAACTGAACTTATCTGTGTTAAATCTTCCACAAATCCTATATTTAGACACAATTACACTAATGTTTATCACTTTATATCTGTAATTTCGAACTGAAACATAATTATTTAATATCAAATAGAGGAATAAATGTTTGCTCAATATGGCGGGTGGTTGTGTATAATCATGGCATCGTCCATGTTGTCTTTAGTTTATTAGAATATTTTGGTGTGGTCTGCAGGTGTTATACAACAATTTGACAAATGTCAGGAATGAAATACCGACAGAGTCGAATGATTTACCTATAATTTGTACTAGATCTATATCTTCTGTTTGAACAGTTGATAAAACCTTTTTAACCAATTTGCATGCGTTGTTTGTCTTAAAACACTGGTTATGGCATTTTAACAAAAATATGACAGCAGAAAGTTAGGTTATGGTGAAGTTGTTTACATATTTAGCATATGTACAGCCTTTAACAGTTACTAAACAACAGTTGTATAAGTGCTTCCGTTGGGAGCAATTTGTTGGCTAAAGTAGTAAATTTGCACAGCAAAACAACAAGGCTCGGGTTTGTTTTATAAACGTTACCATGGATGCCACAACACAACCATTTTGACTAACCTGCGAATGTGCCGTATAAAATAGTTGTACAAACGTTTATGCAACAGCTAAAAATTTGTCCTATAAGGTGTTGTGTAACTATGCTATAAGAATATTTTAAACACCTCATTTTAGAGCAGATATGTTGCAGAAAGCAAATTTGCATTCCACACAACATTAAGCCAGCATTTTAGAGCAAATTTGCATTCCACACAACATTAAGCCAGCATTTTGGTGTTCAGGCAACAACAATAGAGAGCTTTTATGGCTGAACGGTTCTTTTACCAAAAGCTTATACTACTACTTTGCTAGTTGGGAAACTATATACTAAACTCCTACTTAAAATAAGTACGAGATATTTCCTTATCTTTCCTCAAGAAATAACTTTTTTGCCAAAAAAAAAAAACGCCCCAATAGCTATTTTCAACAACAAAATGATAAACAAACCAATGGCGTAGTGAAAAAAAGCATTTACTTATTAAGTAAATTCTTTTAGTCAAATTTCTTCTGAAAGTAGTACAAACTAATCTGATGTACCTATTAAGGTCTACTTTAAGCTTTAAATCAATAAATTTTCAAGACTCCTGAACTGAAGCACATGTATTTTACATCATTATAAAGGGAATTGAAAGACCTTTAAAATAAGGTATCACTCGATCCCCCTTTCCATTTAAAATTTTAGGGTTGGTATCACCCCCGCCCAGGGGGCTGCACGTTTTAACGTGATGTTTTGCCCAACTTGTGTCGCCCTCGAAAACAAAATCGACGGGTCTGAGCGTTTTTCAAAAAAAAAAACTGTGCTGCGTCTGTTTCGTTTTCGATGCGCCACCCTGTATGTGGATTCAATAAACATGGACCTCTGACAGCTTTTTACCTATAAGATACTAATATACTAACACAAAAGTAGACAGACGTTAATACTTATCTTTCACTGTCATAGTAAAAGGCACAAGTTAGCAAAAATAGGTATTTTGATCAAATTGAGTTTTGAAGAAAAGCGAATATTTTTGAAAGAGAAAAAGCGACAATAACAAAAGTAATTACCTGTTTTAATCTTTCATAACAGTGGAATATTTTCATACAATCTCAGAGCTCTGCGAATATTCGTTAACAAGCAAAACAAAACGAACGACCTGCATGAGTATCTAAGCCAGCCTTTATTTAAGTACAACTATAATAGTGAGTAAACACAGAGGAGTCTCATCTAAGTTTGTTATTTAAATCAACAACAGTTAACAAATGTCGATATTAATAAGAGTAATAAATTATTGATCTTATAAGTCATCGTCATCATCATCCTTGGGATAAAAATTCTCGCTCTCTCCAGCAGCAAAAGGTACGTCATCAGTCTGTGGCACAAAGTAAGTGCTCGAGTCTTGTTCAGTATCATTTGTGCCACTAAACATATTGATATCGTCAATTTGATCGGCCTTTGGGATGGTAGTACATCCTTCGTCACCATTCTCAACTGCGTAGTCGTTCAACGGTGATAGGTCCATTTCTTCTTTGTTATACTGATGCAGCTCCTCCACGAAGCAACTGGTAATATTTCTCTCAGTTGGCTAAAAGACAGCAATAACTAATTAATGTCACAAAGTCCTCAACACTCATTAATACCACATCTAGAATCGCACAGCAACCCTCTGTTGCGTGAGTCAGTAGACTACACAGTCGAGCAAGTTCGCAAATATTCCAGGCCGCGCCTCGCACTGTGATAAAAATTAAATTGTAAATTCAGACCAGCCAAAATTATTTCAGTATACAAAACCGATCAAAATTGTTTTTTGGAGTTACAAAATAATTCGAGTAGTCAAAGCAATAATGCTTAAGCTATTTCAAATGATTTACTTCTTTTTTTTGCTCTATTTCCTCCTTCCTTTCTTTCCTTCTTTCCGTTTTCCACATCTAGGAATATAGGTACAAACCGTTCTCAATAGGAAATGTTAGCTGCATATCGTCTGGAAACTTCTACTCGTCAGCAAGTTGTTAACACATAGAAGAATGAGAGGACGTAGGAGAGAAATGACATATTGGATTTACCCAATTTTGACAAGTAGACTCTCTACAAGCTTATACTCTACAGTATATCCCAGGATTCGTAAACATGTGCTCCTTTGGTATCACTCTCAAACCAAAAACTACTGGTAAGCAGCTCGTGAATCATAGGACAGTGTTCTGTAGTGTAGCTAATAATCCGTGATCAATCCTGTGTACCATCAAAACGAGGATCAGGTGAACCACATGGAGATACATATGGGATATATGTAAAATGTGCTTAAAGGAAAATAAAAAAGAGATACCCTCTGAAAGTTTGAAACCACGCAGCGCACAAAAATATCCAGCTTACCTGCTCATTGCTGCGTTTGGTATTCAAACTTTGACCTTCAAGCTTGAACCTAGGTTTGTTGGGCATGAAAATAGAAACAATCTGTTGGATATCCCTCTCAGAGGCCGCTTTTTTCTCTGCCGCTAGTTTAGCATCCCTCTCGGCCTTAAACCTTTCGCGTTCTTCGCGCCGCCCTTCTTCTAAGATTTCCAGCGCTTTTTTCCTTGATACGCCATAGAAAATCCCTGCTATCAGGAAGGAATACCTAAAGAACTTTATAAGAGGCGACACTTTCACGGGATCGCCGACGTTCACCATATTTGCTAATAACCACAGCACGAACGGATACAGTGACACACTTTGAGAGATCGCTTGGCAGTTACGTCATAGTGGGGTATCATGAAACACTTCACTTTAATTGGTGGTACTTGTCATACATATTTAGGCTATACGTAAGATTCATGAAACTGCCGGCCACTGACACTCAGTTTTTTAATAAGCTGACAGACTTTGAGAATTATGGCACAATAAGAAATAAGAAAGATAATACAGGCCTTCAAAATAAAAAAAATTGGTACGTGCCTGGAGTGTCACTACGTTTACTTCATGTAATTTTTGAAGTCAGAGCTGAAGATTGCTGGTCAAATGAGATAGTAATTTCTGAATATAGAATGTCTAATCAGAGATTTTGTCATTTTTGGTGCATGTAAGAGATCTTTAAAGAGGCGCACATCTACCACGCCAGTCATTTATATCTGTCTATCTGTCCACTAATGTACCCTTAGGTATAACTTCGAACATACCAGTCAAGCTGCATTCATAACGTGCACCGTGCTGAAGTGGCATACGGTAGACACAAATGCTAAGATGCAGCTCAAAAATATTTTCCTCGTCTACAGATTTTATCGTTTAGTGACAGTCATGTGAAAAATCATTTTCTAATCTTGGTAGCATTTGGCCAACTTGCAGTAATAAGTTCGATATAGACTTACGAGAGCAGATGCAAATATTTGCGTCTAGTTACTCTCATGCTACAAGAATATACATACAGGGTGCTCATTTGAAGACTTTCCACCACGAGAGAATTAGAAAAATCTTTATTTATCTTAATTTGTTCAGATAGAAAACAGAAACACGCGAAAATGTCACTTTTTATTTCAGTAACTGTTCAAAATGTTGCCCGTTAGGGTTTGCCAAATCTACAATTCGTCTATAATTTAAAATGGAAACTACCAACATAAACAGCAGATATCCTGGGCGGACTGTATTTTTTGTTATACCTGTTTAGTTATTTATTGCTAAGGGAAAGAAATAATTTAATTGCTGTCAGTTACCTATGTGACAATCTTGGGATGGTGAAAATTAATTTATTGATTCAATTTTTCTTCCAAAATGGTTTACACACTAGCCGAAAGAGTGGAAATGACTCTAATTTATGGTACCCAAAATCAATGTGATCGGCAAACTGCCGTCACGTTTAACGCCAGAAATCCAAGGAAGATAACTTCGCATAGGTATGTTTTGGATCTTGTTACTAGATTTACTCAAACTGGATCTGTTGCAAATAAAAAAATGTGATCATCGGAGAGTTTTGGATAACGCCACTCAAGTTGAGGTTTTGGGTCATTTTGGAACAAATCCTAATACTTCATTACTCAAAATTGTTCATTCGACTGGTATTTCATACGGCTGTTTACACCCAGTTATTAAGCTCCATAAATTTCATCGATTCAAAATGAAAATATTGCAAGAGTTAACCGAAGATGATTGCGATAGGCGGGTTGAGTTTTGTGACTGCTACGATTAATGATAATACCAAAGAATATCACTGAAACCATTGAAAATCAAATCGAAGAGGATTGAAACCCTATACTTGATGAAGCTCAAATATGTTTCCAGCAAGACGGCGCTCCTCCTCACTATATTCTTCCGTTTCGGCCATGACTAGACGACGAGTTTCCAGATGAATGTATAGAATGACCTGTAGATCTCCTAATTTGACGTCATTAGACTTTTTTCTATGGGGCCATTTGAACTCTATTGTTTACTCTCCAACCTAAAAGTTTCGATGAACTTCGTCAACGCTTCATCTAAAGCTGCAATGATATCCTACAACATGTTCTTGAAAATGTCCGTCAGGAATTTGAACATCGCCTATATCATTGTTTGGTGAATAAAGGGCAACATTTTGAACAATCATTGAAATAAAAAGTGATATTTTCGTGTGTTTTCGTTTTATATCTGAACAAATTAAGATAAATACAGATTTTTCTAATTTTCTTGAAAACGAATCGGCCGATTGTAATAATCAAACGTCAAAATTAAGGACTTCGAAAGACCTTTCAAACAAGCTTTTACTCGATACCCCTTGTCATTTAAAATTTTCAAGGGGATGACCCTGGGGGGCAGAGGGTGAAAGGTAGTTCTTGGTTGAAAAGTTGGCCCCCTTAACAAATCTTTTGACGTATCTCGGCCTTTTTTTTAGTCGGTGCTTTTCGACGAATCCGTGGAGGGAAGCTTGGAGTTTGTGACCTTTTAAGCGTATCGGCATGTACCTTGTGAGTCATAATGAATGCATCGGACTTATAATGGAGCGCATAAGGTTTATAGCGCAGAAATTGCAGAAGTTATATCTAGCGACTGTATTCAATGAATATCTTCAGGAAAATGTGATCAAGTAAAATTTATATTATTATTATATACGTTATCTTAGTCCGACTATGGCTTATAGACCTTTTGCCTTTAAGCCTTAGCTGGAAACGTGGCGGCTGTAAGACTGCGGCATTCCTATATCTGTCCATATATTCTCCATTAAAAAGCCATTAAACGTAAAAACCCATCTAATCCCTAAGCTATAAGTGACCCACCCTCAGCCCCATTTGCAGGAGTATTTCCAGGCGGATAAAAAATATCGCACAATTTTAGTTTTTTGCATTCTGTCAAAAGACACGTTTCCATTCGTGATTGCTATTTGTGTTTCATAGGTGCGGGTGCGGATAGGGCAGGACGTGGGATGAGACCGTTCTTAAATTGTTAGAGGAGGGTGGAAGTGATTTTAGTGATATAGACAGTGCCTCAGAGGACAAATCTGTGGGATCAAACCATGGAAGTGATAGTAGTGAAATCGCATCCTTGTCAGAGAAAAGGAGCATCCAGCGTCAGCAACTCCAAATTTGGTTTTAGAAAGAAGAAAAACCTGTATTTGTGTCACAGACCAACAGATAGAATGACCAACTTTTTGTGTATGCGATTAAGAAACCAAGTACAGTGCTCTAAGCATAAATATAGACAATGAGTCGTGACGTAAAATATTTTGTTTATTGACTAGAAGCTATTTTTTTTTGTTCATTACTCTATTAGGAAATTCCAAAACATTGAGACTTTTACATGGTTTTACTTTAACTTGTGCATATTACAACAATAGCGTTCTTTCTGTATCGTTTCAAGGACAGTTAATAAAAGATATTCGTTTATGTACGTGTGATTTTTTTAATCAGTAATTTATGTATTGCACAGGAAATAAGCATCTAATATTAATATTAGCTAAGTTATGTGTTGCTTCTTATTTCACTCTAGTATTACGAACTTCTTGAAAATCGCAGTCTGATAGTCAGCACGTTTTTACGTCTAACGACATTCCACCAGGACATTTATTGCCTCTGCTCCACTTCAGCATGGTTCAAGTTAAAAAGATTTGGATACGTCGCTACTACTGCGTCGAAGATGCAAAATGCGTATGGGTTTTAAACTTGATCTAGTGGTAATGGAGTTACGAACAAAAAACAAAGAGAAGTTGTAATTTCATTTTTTTACTTTCCAGATACTCCTGCTCATTTCCAGAAATTTTCAAGGAGGCGTTGAAAGTGGGTAGCTGGGTTTGTAGGGCATGGGTGTTGTCAATGTTGCACCTTTTGGTATCAATGAAAGACGTTTTATTATAGAGAAGCTTTTGATCCTAGTAATAACATCAATTAAGCATAAGAAATACACACATATATATATATATATACAAATATATATCTGCCATTTAAGCAGAAATATTATAGGGTCTGCAGTTTAGGGTAGACATGTTCACGATATACCGTGTTTAACTAAACATACCAAGCTAAATTTCGAATTCCATCTGAATACACTATACTCGTACTTAATTTTTTCTTAGAGCGGTTACCTTTTTTTCGCTTTCGTTTTAGTAACTGTAACTACACCAGGTCACGTTAAGTAAACAAAATAATAGATATTTTATTCAGTCTGTCAATAATCGATATCAAACAGCTTGTTACGCTTCCTTTCCGCAAAAAGTCCAGAAAAGATGGAATGCAATGAAGATTCCAACTTTTCTGCACAATCACAGAAAGGGGGTTAATATTAGCTTCCGGTAGCTCAGTCGGTGGCATGAAGACATCTACAGGCGTGTAGCTGTGTGTCGACCATGGCATGGCTAGAGGATAGAAAAAGAAACAGAACACAAAAATTTAACAGATTTTATTTAACAAAAAAAAGCATTTCCATTACATTACAATTTAACAGTTTTAAAGAACAAAATAAGTTTTACATCTTTGGCGCTGCTATAAAACTATCAACTTATCTTTCGCTGGTCCATTTTGACTCGACTGAAGCGAGGATGGCCAGGTGCTTAAAGTGGAGGTCCCAGTTATGAGGGGTGACCTCACATGCAGTGGCCTCAAAACCAGTTGTAGGCGAAGTTGAACTTAAAGGCGATGGCGCTGCCAAGGCACATGCATGGGTGAAGTGATAGGCCAAGCAACGCAAAGTCAAAGACTAAGGCAAAAGCAAAGTCAAAGACAAAGGCAAAGGGAAAGGGAAAGAGAAAGGGAAAGAGAAAGGGAAAGAGAAAGGGGGTGGCCCCAATCTGAAATGGAACCGTGTGCATTAGCAACGTGCCCTAATGGCCAAGGCATTTCCAATCTCAGTCTGCCTCAAAAGAGAACCAACGATTTTCTAGGTTATAATTACATTACATAGTTTGATAAAATCAAACCGAAAATTGGAAATGCCTTTCATAAAATAAAATCATGAAATAGCAAAAAAAAGCGTAAAACAAGATGGTGGTCATCAAAAATTTCTCCACATGCTTCTGATATAAAAACACAAATATCGAATATTCATAATCAACGTACTTATAATTTCACTGAACTATGAATATATATACGCACACAGAGGTAAAATCGATGTGGATCGATTTCCACCTCGATTTGATTAAAGTTATGGCGAATGATCGAAGTAGTCGAAAATGACGGTCGATGGATATTTTAAAATCGTACAAGAAATAAACCACTTACATATCGATTATTTATAAACTATAGGCAGATCCAGCAATAAAACTGTATAGTATTATAAAACTCACCATTTTGTCCTATATGGACACACATTCTACAAAATTCTAGTACATGGTGCTATATGACCTTGTGCTACAGAGAAGAAAATTCTTAGCTCTTGTTCGATCGGCGGCTCAAGTGAAAAGGAAGCGCGAGGAAGATCGCAGATCAGGAACTCCGCATCAAGAGCCCTCCAAGCGGAAATTTTTCCAAGTAAAAAAGCTAGAGATGGGATTAATGAAGTGATAATCGAGAAGTGATTTAATAAATACGATCGGACGGTGAAACCGTTACACTCGCCCCTACTTAACCAGAAAAAAAATTCGAAGAAGCATTCAAGAATTTTTTTTTTACTAGGAAATTGAAAGTTAACACGGAAGGACAAATGTACAACCATTCGACCAGATAACAAGTAGCAAAAGTAAGGTAGAAACAAAAATGTTAGAAGAGAATTGGAAGAAAAAGGGATAGCCTCAAGTCTACCAAACAAGAGGGATGGTTATAGCACCAACTCGCTAAAAAGTACAGCGAAGTTGCACTTAAAAAAAACTATCATCATGTGATGAACAACCCAAAACATAAAACATCGTCATACCTAGGACGAGAAACATAATAAACCAAAAGCTTCAGCAGTAGTCCAAGCACGAAGTGAGGAATCACAATGGCTTCCAAAATGCACGACTGACTACTAAAAACTTCAAAACTAAGTAAGTACCGAAACCATAAGAGGTACTAAAAAAATAATAATAATCTTTCTCAAAACAATTGCCAGATTATCTCGCAATACTCCAAACCCAAAAAGAATATCATCTACAGTGATATTTTAAACCAATATCCAATATAAAAAACTGTGCATTACTTTTTTTCAAAACATGAAAATCAAAAGAAATTAACAAATTCTAATAGGAATTCAAGTCATATAATAAAACAATTTACAAGTACTAAACCAATGAAAACTTGATCACGAAGGTATTTTAATCAAAAAAGATGTTAACTAAGTGCAGTTCTGATTCCAAAAAAAAATTGTCGGGCGCCAGCAGTCTGTAAGACTACAAAATAATTCAAAATGTTTTAAGAGAATTGAAGTATATAAGAGACATTCATGAAATATTGAAGTAAGATTTTCAAAGTCAAAATACAGCTTAAGTTCAATCAATGAACTAAAATTCAAGAGTAAGTTCAATCAAAATTTTCGAGTCATGTGACAACATAAGAACCAGACCAAAAAAAAAATTCTGAAGTTCAATATAGAAAAGAGCAAAAAAAAAACTAAGTGCGACACAAGTGCAACTGTAAATTTAATAGTATTAAAATCATAAAGTGAAAGGAAATATCAAAGCTATATGAGCATAATTTTATAAAGAATTCTCAAAAAATACAAAAGTAAGCAAAATATTAAAAGTTTCATGAGTAATAAATGAGAAACGAAGTGAGCATATGTAAAATGCAAAATAGCGAAACGAAAATCACAAGATATTTTAATAAATCATGATACATGAGAGTAATGCCGCAAGCAAAAATTGTATGCAAAAGTCTACGATATATGTAGGTGCAAAATTGGAGTTATAAAAAAACAATCTAGTGAACAAGAAATAGAAATAAATATGATAGGTAAGAATTCGAATTTTGATTTAAAGCAAAAATATGAAAGAAAGACAACTTTCTAGGGTCACCATAGGTGCACTCCAAAGCCCTAGACAAGAATGTCTATAGTCTATAGGCGATGGCGCTGCCAAGGCACATGCATGGGTGAAGTGATAGGCCAAGCAACGCAAAGTCAAAGACTAAGGCAAAAGCAAAGTCAAAGACAAAGGCAAAGGGAAAGAGAAAGGGAAAGAGAAAGGGGGTGGCCCCAATCTGAAAGAGAACCGTGTGCATTAGCAACGTGCCCTAATGGCCAAGGCATTTCCAATCTCAGTCTGCCTCAAAAGAGGACCAACGATTTTCTAGGTTATAATTACATTACATAGTTTGATAAAATCAAACCGAAAATTGGAAATGCCTTTCATAAAATAAAATCATGAAATAGCAAAAAAAAAAGCGTAAAACAAGATGGTGGTCATCAAAAATTTCTCCACATGCTTCTGATATAAAAACACAAATATCGAATATTCATAATCAACGTACTTATAATTTCACTGAACTATGAATATATATACGCACACAGAGGTAAAATCGATGTGGATCGATTTCCACCTCGATTTGATTAAAGTTATGGCGAATGATCGAAGTAGTCGAAAATGACGTTCGATGGATATTTTAAAATCGTACAAGAAATAAACCACTTACATATCGATTATCTATAAACTATAGGCAGATCCAGCAATAAAACTGTATAGTATTATAAAACTCACCATTTTGTCCTATACGGACACACATTCTACAAAATTCTAGCACATGGTGCTATATGACCTTGTGCTACAGAGAAGAAAATTCTTAGCTCTTGTTTGAGAGGCGGCTCAAGTGAAAAGGAAGCGCGAGGAAGATCGCAGATCAGGAACTCCGCATCAAGAGACCTCCAAGCGGAAATTTTTCCAAGTAAAAAAGCTAGAGATGGGATTAATGAAGTGATAATCGAGAAGTGATTTAATAAATACGATCGGACGGTGAAACCGTTACAAGCTTAAATTTTAGTTTTAAATGGCAGTATGTTTGAAAATAAACCGGATATAATCTAAAAAAACTACAGCAGGGCGTGGCAAGAACATAGTCAATTTACTTGACGCAATTTTTCATGACATATGTTTAATTCAAAGTGAGTTAACTGTTTTCAAGAGCTTTTTTGTCATTGCATTCTACTCTCCCGAACTCTCTCCACTGAGGTCTATAGTAGCACTAAGCATCACTTGACTCCTAAATGCTGAAGTACAACACATTACCGCTTGCCGTGTTTGTCTTTAATTAGAAATACTGACTTATTGTTGTCTTTCCAGGCATATACGTACACCATCCGTAGCTCTCCACGCCAGCAGCAATACGCAATTTACGTAAGTATCACCTACTCCCACATGATGAAGTAATTCCACAAGGCTGCAGGTCATGCATCAATTCGAGGACATCTACAGTCATCCTGTTTACCACTTTAAGTCTAAGCGTTGCCAAAGTTTTGGAAGCATTAATTTCCTGCAGGCCTATACCAATAAAATGAGGTACTAATTTGGCAGTCACATTGATTGACAATTTAAATAAAAGTAAATGTGACAGTTATTTATTTTAGTTAAGAGTACATTATGTAAAATAAATAATCAAAACGCATTTGTATTTTAGACTAAAATAAGAACCATTTACATCCAATTCGTATTTAAACTATTAATTAATGTGGGTGTAAAGAATATCCGAGCAACTATGAACGTCGTTACAGCTAATTGCCCCAGAAATAAAGTTCGACATTGAAGTCTGGAAAAATAATAAGAGCACTTCATTTAAAGTGGCATTTCCTATTGCCAGTGTCAAAGATGTGTAAATCCCCAGCTTGTGGCCTACCGGAACTGCTGTCCGTAGATTGCACTTCCGTAGGGAAAATTTTCCAGAGAGAAGCTCATCCAATCTAGGACACTGAAACTTCAGTCTGGAATCCGATTCTGCCATTTAAATGTGCAGTCTCCGCAATAAACTGAAAGATTTGTATCTCTTGCCCCATGAAATTAACTTTCCCGAAGTAGTGTGTATCTCTGTAATATGGCGAAGATAAGCTGCTAGTCTTAATTAAATTAACAGGGTATGTGCTATCGATTTTTTCAGCCGTATTCATAAGAAAGGAGGTGAAGTAGCCATATCTATAAAGATATCATGTAAAGTGGACATTCGAGTATGCTCTTTTTTTTATAATCCAACTACCACGAAGGCCTAAGTACCCATTGGGTACTGTGGGGCTATAGGGAGATACATGGGAAAGGGGGGGACGCCACACGCACTCTGGCGAGGGAACACGTGTGCTTGCAACATGCACACATTCTGGCTCCGCCTACGAGAACCGCCGGGTGGTACCTCCGCGTTCGACAGTCAGAGACCATCTACCACCTATGGACAATCACAACATCCATAGCCAAGAGAAAAATTTCTCCTGGGACGGGACTTGAACCCACACAGCGCACGGCGACTGATCAGGAGACCGAAGAGTCTACTACTGCGGCCACCGATGCTACCTGATAACTATTGACCATAATGGCAATAAAGTACCTGTAGCTTGTACTGATAGGTTGCCTAATTCTGACGTATCTGTTTTTAAATTATGTGGAGATTTTTTTTCAAATGTGAATGGTGCTAGTATTTTTTATATGTGGATATTTTAATCAAAATTCTGATGTAAGCTGTTAGGACAAAAATACCTCCAAATGTACAAATTTATTTAACTGCTATGGTTTTGTACCTTTAATTTTCAATCACATACGGATCCAAAATAATTCCGGAACTATTATTGACAATAATTTTTGCATTGCTGATCCCTTGCGCTTGAAGGCACCATGTGACTGATTCACTTTTTACAACTAGCCGAACTGAGTCGCGGGATACGTTGAACAACGTGCATCGAGAAGGTTTTTCAGCGATACATAACACCTATATTTTCAGAGTTTTGATTTCAGCTCGGGATTGGAGCTTTTTTGACAGTGAAATGATTCCAAATTTTCCCCATCGCACGATTTTTTTGTAGATATGCTGGATAAAGCATTTCCCGTATTATAAAGTGTAAGGTAAAAATGCCGTGGGTCAGTACTGAAATTATTGAGGAAGTTAAGCTTATACCTGACATACACAGTGCATATAGATATACCGAGAGTACTGAGTTATATCAAAAATATAAAACTCTGAAAATCTGTCATAAGTTAAAAATCCAGCAAGCAAAAAAATTATACCACTAAAGTGAATTCCGTAGTTCTTTTAATACATCAAAAACAGCATACGATATAATTAAATGTGAGACTGGAAACTAATCGCGATGATAAACAGAGCTTCGAAAGTAAAGATGATTCGCAACTAAGTGGCAATAGTCACCTTCTAGAGTCGGTGCAGGTACTTACACCGACTTTAGAAGGTCGTACATACCAGGTTATTTTATCTAGCTTTTTTTCCATCCAATGAGTCTAATCAAAAATATTACTAACGACATCTCTAAAAAACACCAAATGGGAATGATGAAGCTCCTTGCTGGTTATTAGCAAATGTAGTACTTAGTACAGTTTCGTTTCAGGAAAGAAAGGAGGATGCTATATTGCCATTTTAGCATTATACAATCAAATTTTGAAAAAATTTCTAGAGAAAGAAACGAAAGCTTATCTGCTGCTTGACCTTAGTTGTGTCTTTGATACCATTGTCCATTGCTTGTTGGTATATTCAAAACGATTTTTGCGGACGACAAATGCAGCTTTTACCCACAAGTGTACAACAAGGAAGTAACCTGAGTCCAGTATTATTCATTTAGCTTATAAATGATATACAAGCTCTTGGTCCTGATATAGTCAAAACGATTTTAGCGACCGACAAATGCTGTTTTTACTCAATTCAGTGACTATTGGGGGTCCAATGGTCTCAATAACTATTGTAAATATCTTGGTACTTAAATTGATTCCTAGATGACGTTTGTAATCCAAAAGCATCACTTCACCAAAAAACCATCACTTCAATCATTCATCATGTGGCAATTCAGACAGGTGTTAATATTCATCTGTTAAATCTGTACGTGGCATTATTAGTGCCTCCATATATATCTAACGCACTAATGACTCTGATGAACACAGGATTTGTGACATGACAATTTTTGGGTGTATCTCATGTATTTGGAGATCCTTAAATCAAATCTAAAAACAGAATTTTTCTATCACCCACAGATATCCGATAACATCTACTTTTATGAATTACAATACGTAACATCTCATATTGCTGCATTTCTCGGAGTTTATGCGATGACGCACATATATAATGTTAAGACCTGTCTATTCTTGTTTATTATATGCGAGCTCTATGTTTAGAGAGCATATTGCGTTTATTAGTAGACTAAAAACAGCCAAGTCTGTTACGTTTTCTGTGTTGAAGAGTACTGATATGTTCTGAGTACTGTTAATTTTTGTATAGTGCGAACAGTTTTTGTTATGTGTGCGGAGAGCTAACTTTCAAATTCCAAAAACGTACTTTCACTCCCCTTGTGTTGAAAGTATGCAAACTTTATTTTGGAGTTAAAGTTGGCGACCAAGGTAAACTATGGGCCCCTCATATATGTTGTAAGACTTGTGAAATGTTGTTAACAGGTTGGTTAAGAGGCGACAATCGTGAAATGTCCTTTGCGGTACCAATCGCCTCACAAATATTAAAGGTATTGGACCAAAATCGAAACATATTGTTAAGTATTTTAATTTAGCATCAGCTTTGCGGCCCGTTAAGCATAGTGATTAACTTTCTCTCCCAGTTCCCCCAGAATCTTAGCCTTTGGATGAAAAAGACGAACCCACAGATTCTGAAACTGATGGTACAGAAAGTGTAAAAATTTCCGATCCTTCGTTTGACCTGCCAGGATGTTACACCACGCGAAGTTAATGACTTAGTTCGAGGATTAAATCTGTCAAAATCCCAGTCAAAACTTTTAGTGTCAAGATTAAAAGGATGGAGTATTCTCCACGGTTAACATTACTTTTTACCAAAAACGGCAACAAGACCTCACACGCTGTTTCCGTCAAGAAAGGGAGTTGATATATTGCTCTGATGTCATCAATTTGTTTGACGCGACAGAAACACGATCCAAATGATTGGCGCCTGTTCACTGATTCCTCTAAGCTTAGCCTAAAAGTGGTATTGGTACACAACGGTAATAAATATCCATCTGTACCTATAACGCACGCAGTTTATATGAAGAAATCATATGAAAATATGCGAGTTCTGTTAGAGCATATCCGTTATAATGAATATGGATGGGCCATATGTGCAGATTTAAAGGTAATAGTCCTTCTTCTCGGAATGGAACTGGGATATACCGAATATTGTTATTTTCTTTGTGAATGGGACAGTCGTGCGCGAGGTCGTCATTATGAACAGAAGGAGTGGCGACTACGTCAGGTATTAACTCCGGGCCTCAAAAACATTGCTCATAAACCACTAGTTGATCCCAAAAACGGGTTGCTCCCACCTCTGCAAATTAAGTTGGGACTGATGAAAAATGTTGTGCAAGCTATGGATCGAAATGGAAGAGGGCATTTAAAACAAACGTCTCCGAGACTTAGTGAGGCAAAAATTGAAGGGGGTATATTTGTGGGTCCACAAATACGGAAAATAATCAAGGATGATGTATTTGACAGTGCTCTAAATGAAACTGAATTACGAGCTTGGAATGCTTTTAAATCAGTTATTGCAAATTTTTCGGCAATGTGAAGGCGGACAATTATAAAGATATTGTCAGTGAACTAATTAATGATTATTAAAGAATGGGATGTAACATGTCTCTAAAAATTATTTTTTTGGATTCTCATCTCGATTTTTTTGCGGATAATTTAGGTGCGGTAAGTGATGAACACGGTGAATCTTCTCTAAGCGAGATTGCGCACTACGCAAGCCGGTGCGTCGCGCACCTGCTACTCGCTCTTGCGACACATGAATTGTGTGCTAGAAGACCGTTGTTTTCGCTCACTTTTTGAAATTAATATATAATACAGATTGTAGACACTTTAGTTGTATATTCAGGCATACTATGTTTTATATCGCCGGTTACAAGAAGGTTGTCATACTGCCAGTGATAATCATAAACGCGCAAGACTCGTACGTCCAGAATAAATCATCATGGCGGTGAGATAAAGCTAATAACGTATGTTTTACTGCCAATCGCCAAAAATCGTGAAAATACCTATACAGATATACTCAGAAAGCGCATTTATACTGAATGGGTAGTCTGGAGTCAGTCTATATAACTGAATTCTTTTCCATGCTGGGCAACGAAACTTTTTTTTAATTTGGTTGGTGCGACCATGTTTGTGGTTCACCCTTCAACGTAAATAATACAGGAGCG